TAAAACAGATTTTTAATTTTTTTTAATTAATTGAAGCCCTGGAATGAATTTTCCAGCCGACTCACAAGGCTGTTCCCAAAGAAAAATAGGACAAAATCCTGGGCCAAGCGTGTACAGGCAGGACCTGGGCACTGTCACCTCCCTGGGGCACCAAGCTGGGACAGGTTGGGCAAGGACAATCTGCAACGTGAGAAAGAAATAAATATAAATATTATATATTAGAAATAAATATAAATATATTATTATGGCAAGAGCAAGGACAATCTGCGATGTGTGAAAGAAATTATTATTATTATTGGTAGTAGTAGTACTAGTATTAGTATTATTAGTAGTATTAGTAGTATTAGTATTAGTATTAGTATTAGTATTGGTATTGGTATTAGTAATTGTAATTATTATTATTATTATTATTATTATTATTATTATTATTATTATTATTATTTTGGCAAGGGCAAGGACACATTTGCAATGTGTGAAAGAAATAAATATAAATGTTACATTTTACAGGCAAGGACAATCTGCAAAGAAATAATTATAAATACTATATATTGTGGGCAAGGACAATCTGCAACGTGTAAAAAAGTAACTATAAATATTACATATATAAATAAATTTATCTGTTATTATGGCAAGGGCAAGGACAATCTGCGATGTGTAAATAAATAAATATAAATATTACATATTACGGGCAAATAACACCAAACAGCAGGCGATAACATCACTAAATTAATTAAAAACTTCATTAAGGACTCTTCATTAATACTCCAAGCCCCGAGTATTTGGGTTTCCATGAATTCAGCCCCCCCGGGCGGGTTGGTGGCAGCAGAGGCCGGGATTTGTCCCCCGGGAGGAGCAGGGGGTGACCCGGAGCAGCTGCCACACCCCAGAGGTGGCCAAAAATCCCCGGCTCCTCCTCCCGCATCCTCTGCTGACATTCCTGGGGTTCCCTCCCATCAAACAGCTCCGGATTTCCCTGCCCCAAACCCGCCTGGAAAATGTGGGGTTGGCCCGGTAAATCCATCCTGCTGGATGGGAGCCGGGTGGGAAACGCTCCAAAGGCAGGCGGGAATAATTCCAGAACTGAATGGGAATAATTCCAGAACTGAATGGGAATAATTCCAGAACATAGTGGGAATAATTCCAAAACTGAATGGGAATAATTTCAAAACCCAGCAGGAATAATTCCAGAACTGAATGGGAATAATTCCAGAACTGAATGGGAATAATTCCAAAACTGAATGGGAATAATTCCAAAACATAGTGGGAATAATTCAAGAACCCAGTGGGAATAATTCCAAAACTGAATGGGAATAATTCCAAAACCCAGTGGGAATAATTCCAAAACCCGGCAGTAATAATTCCAGAACTGAATGAGAATAATTCCAAAACCCAGTGGGAATAATTCCAAAACCTAGTGGGAATAATTCCAAACACGAACAGGAATAATCTCAAAACTGAGTGGGAATAAACCCAAAGAATTTTGGGAATAATTCCAAGGAATTTTGGGAAGGCAGCACAGCATTTTCAGGCCCCACATCACAAATCAGAGACGTTCGGGCCTTGACAGCTCGGCCTTTTATTTTTGCCCATCCCTGATGGTGCCCGGAGCTCCTCCTGCCGCTTCTCCCGGCTCGGGTTATCCCGGGAATGATCTGGGATCATCCCTGGGGCGGCTGAGACAGGAAAACTCTCGGGCTTTGCGGGGAAACTGAGGCAGGTTGTGCAGTGCCACCTGGGGCAAGCAGAGGGAGACGCAAATCACCCAAGGAACTCAACCCAAACACCAAAAACCGGGGTTAATTTAAAAAAACCCAAACATAATAAAGGTGTGCTCTGAGCAGATTTTATATCATTTATAGAATTGAATTTGCTTCCTTTGCCAACCCGGCATTTCCATTTTTTAATATATATATAAAAATTACATAGCTATATTTTAAGATATATTTTAATTTATATATAGATATATAATTTGTATATTATATTTTATATACATAATATATAAAATATAATTGTATATATATTTTTATATATATAATCATATATTAGTATATAAACCTACAATATTTATGCACAATATTTATGCATAATATTTATACATAATGCGTATCATTTATATATATTCATATAACACTTGTATAATAATTATATTATTTATAATATGTATTTAAATATGTATTTATATATGTATATATTTATATATTTATTTCTAGAATAATTATATTTATTTTTAGCTCATATTTCTATTTATTCTATTTTATCTATACCTCAGAACAGCTCACTTGTTGTGGGAGATGTTTTCTTTCTGCCTCCTCCCTTCGCTCCCTTTCCCTTTTGTGCTCCTCCAACATTTAATTCCCCTAATGTATCCTTTTTAAGATCTCTTTAGGATGGAAATTCATCTTTTTAGGATTGAAAATCTGATTTAATCCCAGCTAGAACTGAACACAACACGGAATTCCAGGGTGCCACTGCTGAATTTAGGGGGTTTGGCTGCTCTGTGAAGCCCTCGAAACTAAAAAACCCCAGTGAACCTCAATATCCCCCAGCTAAAAGAAAAAAAAAAATCCCTTTTTTATCAACCAAAAATCCTCCAGAAAAGGCTCAGCTCTCCTGAGCCGGGCAGATATTTTTTGGAGAAGCTCCTCGCCGCCTCCCCAGGGATGCTTTGATGCAGGAGCCGCAGTTTTGTCCTCCCCCTGCAGCTGGAAATTGGGATCGGGGAGGATTTTGGGGATGAGACACCCTGGGCGTGTTCCACAAAATCCCGGAATCTCCTCCCTGGGCCAATTTGGGGATTTCTCCCCACCCCGGGAGCCGCTCTTGGGCAACCCGAGATCAACCGCGGTCACTGCGCGGCTCCTTGGGCTCGGATTTTGGGCTTCTCCAACTTTCACCGGCGCTGGGCGAAATCAGAGCTGCTGATAGCGCGGGGACGCGTTAATTATCATTAATTACAGCATGGCGGAGCTCCTCGTGCCCAGAACTGCTGACCCGAGGTTTGTGCTGATGTCAGCGAGCAGAAATTCTTTGAAGTGAGGACAGCGCGCTCCCACCCCAAATCCTTCTCCTTTGATTATTCCTTGGTGAGGCAGCGCTCCTGACTCAGCGAACCCCGCGGCTCTGCAGCCCCGCCGAACCGGTTCGGGCACAAAAAATCAAATTAACCATCATTAAAGCTGCCCCTGCCCTGCGCAAGGATGTAATTTTCTAAAAGGATTCAGGATTAATGGGGCCCCGGCGATATTAAAGCTCTGTGTTGTGGGGTTTGCAGTCTGCGCTCGCTCTTTATTCCCTTTGTTACTCACGGGATGGTTTGGGCTGGAAGGGGCCTTAAAACTCGCCCAGTTCCGCCCTTGCCGCGGTTCTGGCTTGTTCCAGCCTGGCCTCGGACACATTCTTCATTTTGGTGGATTTCTCCTTAAAATCGGGGCTGAACTCTGCCTAAATATCCGGGCTCTGAGGGATTTAGGAGCGCTTTCCGTGCCGGGTAAAGAGCGCAAAAAAATCCAAGCGGGGGCTTTCCCAGGGCGTTTGGATTTTTGGGAGAATGAAGGATTTCAGTCTCTTAATTCAGAAAAAAAAAAATCTGGAAGTTTTGAGAGTGGATTTTCCCATGAATTCCCTGGAAAAGCTGTGCCAGGGCCTCCCAGGGAGCAATTCCTTCCCGATTTCCCACCTAAACCTCCTCTCCTTCGGTCCGAATCCATCCCCGGCCCCACAGGTGCAGTCACTGGGGCACAACACAGATCGTGGGTGGAAAAGAGAAATCCCCGAGCGAGATTTCTGCTTTTCGGGGGGTTTGGAGAAGAGCCGATCCCAGAGTTGCGCTCCAGGGACTGATTTTGCCGGGCAGGATTCGCTTCCCTGGGTTGGGGTTTCCCAAATTCCAGCGGGATCAGCTGAGGAGAGCCGGAATCCTTTCCAGGGGGTGAATTCCACGCTTTCTCCACGTGCTTTAATTCTCCTGCTCTGGAACAGGAATTCCATGGAAGCGGGGGGAGCAAGAAATTCCAAAGGGAGATAACAGAGACATGGAAAATTCCGCGTAGAGAATAAAATGGGCGATTTGGGGGCAGGATTTTGGGCTCCTCCTCATACACAAAGTCCATCCAACCTCGTTAGGATTAAATCCTGGGGGTGAAAAAAGAGGATTCCTCTGCCAGGGATGTGATCCTAAAAGGTTGAACAGGATCCACACGATCCCTGGGAGGACTTCCCCAAAATCCCGGTGCTCTGCACCCCCTTTTTTTCCATTTTCGCTCCCTCTTTCTTCCCGAGGGAAGTTTTGCGCATGGAAATGCCCGCATTGAAACGAGGTAAAACCATCCCAGCGTTTGTGCCATGCCAGGAATTATTCTGATTTTATGAGGCACCTCCAGAGATCCCGCAGGGCTTTGGAGCTTATCGGGAATATTCCGGAGACATCAGAAAAAATGAGATTTCAAAGAGGATCTCAAAACCCCTGCGAGTTTGTCACCCAGGGAAATCATTTCGTGGTAATGACATCCCAGAGGACCCGGGCTGCTGTGACCTCACAAAGAATAAATTATGGAAAGTGTTTCATCAAACTCCTCATTTCAAACTTCACAGCTGGCATAATTCATGAAGGGCTTCGTTTTTATTCCAAAGATAACCCCGAGCTTTGCTCTTTAGATTTGCACCCCTGATTTTAGGAGCGCATAAATCCCATCAGGGTTGTGGAGAGGAATCCCTGATTTTCCAGCTTTTAAACGAGGCACGGACACAATTCCCGGTGTCAGAGGTTTTGCTTCCATGAGGAAAATCATCTTGCCACTCCAAGATTCCCTGTGCGCTTTTTAGCCGAGATAAGCTAAAAAAACCTCATTAATTCTCGGTGCGTTTTCACCTCTTAATGAAAACCAGGAGGGGAAAAGCAGGAAATTCAGAGATGAAAAGACCTGGCGGGTTCCCATCTGCATTTTTGGGGTTATTGCCCAACGCGGCTTTAGATAATCATAAACAGCGAGCAAAACAATTCCTGCGACTCCAGGAGCGATCCCTGCACCGGGCTCTGCTCCCGAGTAATTAAATCGCTTTGCACAAAGGGTGGCTCAGCCGCCCCCGGCCATCCAGGGGAGGATATAAAATCCCTCTCCACGCCGGGATTTTCTCACTGCCTCTCCCGACTCCTTCTCTCCGCCTCTCTGAGTAAGTTTGGATTCCCCGGCTCTAAAAACCTCGAGTTTCCTTCTGCTTTGGCGTGGATTTCTCCTTAAAATCGGGGATGAGCCCTGCCTAAATATTCGGGCTCTGAGGGGTTTAGGAGCGCTTTTCGTGCTGGGCAAAGGGTGCAAAAAGCAAAGCGGGGCCTTTCCAGGGCGTTTGGATTTGTGGGAGAATGAGGGAATTCAGACTCTTAATTCTGGGGGGAAAAAATAAATTTTTAATATATATATAATGAGGGAATTCAGACTCTTAATTCTGGGGGGAAAAAATAAATTTTTAATATATATATCTATATATATATCTATATATATATCTATATATATATAGATATAGAGATACATATGTATCAATATCTATCTATATAGCTATATATATCTATATATCTATATATCTATATATCTATATATAGATATATTTGGGGAACTTTTGAGAATGGACTTAATTTCGTGTTTGATTGTGTGGCAGGATTTAGGGTGGGTTTGATGGCAAGATCCGGGGGGGCAGAATTCATGGAAAAATGTGGAAAATCCTGCTTGGAAGTGAGCTCGGTGCAGCTCTGCCGTCGTTTGGATCAGCCCATCCTTAATTTAATTGGAACCACATCGAGTTACACCAAGCCATGATTACAGACTATTAACATAACTGTGCCAATAACTTTCATTTCTAACTCTTAAAACTGATTTAAAATTCTAAAGCGCTTTTGCAGAGATTAAACACAGCATTTCTGTAGGTCAGTGCTGCGTTCTAACTCGAGGGAATTTGGAGGAAAATGCCCTGCATGGGTGGTTTCGGGTTTTTTTCCTTTGTTTTTTAATTATCAGAAGGATAAATTTCATTTATTAACTTAAAAAATTATTCTGATTTTATGAGGCACCTCCAGAGATCCCGCAGGGCTTTGGAGCTTATCGGGAATATTCCGGAGACATCAGAAAAAATGAGATTTCAAAGAGGATCTCAAAACCCCTGCGAGTTTGTCACCCAGGGAAATCATTTCGTGGTAATGACATCCCAGAGGACCCGGGCTGCTGTGACCTCACAAAGAATAAATTATGGAAAGTGTTTCATCAAACTCCTCATTTCAAACTTCACAGCTGGCATAATTCATGAAGGGCTTCGTTTTTATTCCAAAGATAACCCCGAGCTTTGCTCTTTAGATTTGCACCCCTGATTTTAGGAGCGCATAAATCCCATCAGGGTTGTGGAGAGGAATCCCTGATTTTCCAGCTTTTAAACGAGGCACGGACACAATTCCCGGTGTCAGAGGTTTTGCTTCCATGAGGAAAATCATCTTGCCACTCCAAGATTCCCTGTGCGCTTTTTAGCCGAGATAAGCTAAAAAAACCTCATTAATTCTCGGTGCGTTTTCACCTCTTAATGAAAACCAGGAGGGGAAAAGCAGGAAATTCAGAGATGAAAAGACCTGGCGGGTTCCCATCTGCATTTTTGGGGTTATTGCCCAACGCGGCTTTAGATAATCATAAACAGCGAGCAAAACAATTCCTGCGACTCCAGGAGCGATCCCTGCACCGGGCTCTGCTCCCGAGTAATTAAATCGCTTTGCACAAAGGGTGGCTCAGCCGCCCCCGGCCATCCAGGGGAGGATATAAAATCCCTCTCCACGCCGGGATTTTCTCACTGCCTCTCCCGACTCCTTCTCTCCGCCTCTCTGAGTAAGTTTGGATTCCCCGGCTCTAAAAACCTCGAGTTTCCTTCTGCTTTGGCGTGGATTTCTCCTTAAAATCGGGGATGAGCCCTGCCTAAATATTCGGGCTCTGAGGGGTTTAGGAGCGCTTTTCGTGCTGGGCAAAGGGTGCAAAAAGCAAAGCGGGGCCTTTCCAGGGCGTTTGGATTTGTGGGAGAATGAGGGAATTCAGACTCTTAATTCTGGGGGGAAAAAATAAATTTTTAATATATATATCTATATATATATCTATATATATATCTATATATATATAGATATAGAGATACATATGTATCAATATCTATCTATATAGCTATATATCTATATATCTATATATAGATATATTTGGGGAACTTTTGAGAATGGACTTAATTTCGTGTTTGATTGTGTGGCAGGATTTAGGGTGGGTTTGATGGCAAGATCCGGGGGGGCAGAATTCATGGAAAAATGTGGAAAATCCTGCTTGGAAGTGAGCTCGGTGCAGCTCTGCCGTCGTTTGGATCAGCCCATCCTTAATTTAATTGGAACCACATCGAGTTACACCAAGCCATGATTACAGACTATTAACATAACTGTGCCAATAACTTTCATTTCTAACTCTTAAAACTGATTTAAAATTCTAAAGCGCTTTTGCAGAGATTAAACACAGCATTTCTGTAGGTCAGTGCTGCGTTCTAACTCGAGGGAATTTGGAGGAAAATGCCCTGCATGGGTGGTTTCGGGTTTTTTTCCTTTGTTTTTTAATTATCAGAAGGGTAAATTTCATTTATTAACTTAAAAAATTATTCTGACGCTACACCAGGCTTTTATGTGAGGATTTAACCTGCAGAAATAAACATTATTGAATAAATTTCCCTAGGTGAGACTGTCATTTTCTTATTTGGGTTGACTATATCGCTATATAAATATTTTAATATATATTATATTATATAAATATTTTAATTATGTGTTTCTTTCATTAAACGAGCGCTTAACACTCCCACTTATTCTCAGCCTTTTGGGGTTTTTTTTTTCCCCTGTGTTTTAGCAGAATATTTTCCTGCCTGAAAACAACAGGAATCTGCAAGGAAAATAACACTAAAATTAATCAGGGTGCTAAGCTGATTATTCCACGCTGAAATACGTGGAAAATCCAGATTTTTTGGGTTTTTTTCCCCCGCGTGGGAGGAACAGAGGAGCTGTGGGAACGAGTTCCAGCGCGTCCTTGGGAATTCCTCCAAAGGGCCGGGAGGGTTTGGGGAGGCACGAAAGGAAAGGGGAGGAGCTCTGCTCCTCTTATTATATATATAAAATATATAAATATAAATGAGGAGGGAGGAGGAGCAAAAAGGGAAAGTTTAATGAGGGAATTCGGAATAAATCGGGGAAGTAAAAGCATCCAAATTATCCCTGAGGATCCCTAAACGCCAAATATCAACAATCGAGAGATCAATTATGTCTTTTTCTAAATTATCCCGAGCGAGATCTTCAAACGAAACTCCAATAGCCAAGAGAGAAATTCCTGTAATTATCTCAATTGCCTCTAATGAGGCCTTAGAACCAAATGTCAATAAACAAGAGATCAACCCTTGTTCTCACCCGAATTATCTCTCAGAATGTCAAGCGCGCAGCTCTTGTCTTTTTCCGAGTTATCTCAGCACGAAAAGTCAATAAAAAAGCGCTCGGCTCGTGCCTTTATCTCGATTATCGCTAACGACCCCCAAAATGTCAATAAAAGGCGTTTAAATCCTGTTTTTATCTCGATTGTCGCTAACGACTCCCAAAATGTCAATAAAAGGCGTTTAACTCGTGCCTTTATCTCGATTATCGCTAAGCACCCCCTAGAGTTTAATGTCAATAAACAACGTTTAAATCGTGTTTTTATCTCGATTTTAGCTCCCCCTAGAGCTAAATGCCAATAACCAATAATTTCCTATGTCCCGATTACTTCTGGAAACCAATGAGAGACAAATGTCGATTATCGAGAGATGCGAGGAGTTGTGGATTTCGCTTCTGGAGCTTCGGTTTGGTTTTTTTGTGCTTTTTTAACTCCGCCAATGCATTGCAGGCTCTCCCCCGGCGATGGCTTCCACCCAGCTGTCCTGTGCCACCCCCTGCGAGCCCAAGTGTCCCCAGCCTCTGGCCAGCAGCACCAACGAGCCCTGCGTGGTGACCTGCGGCGACTCGCGGGTCATCATCTACCCCCCGCCCGTGGTGGTCACCTTCCCGGGGCCCATCCTCACCACGTACCCGCAGCAAACCGTGGTGGGAGCCTCGGAGCCCTCGGAGGTGGCCCTGGGCGAGTCCCCGGCAGCTCTGCCAGCCGAGGTCACCGCCAGGCTGGAGGCGGCGGGGGACAAAGTGGCAGCGCCGGTGCTGGCCCGTCCCGAGCCGCGCTGCGCCCCCAAATATTCCTACACCTACTCCTCGCAATGGACTCATCCCTGCAATTCCTACCGCTCCGGGAAGCGCTGGACGTACTGAGCCTGGCGGGGGAAATTCCAGCTGTCATTCCAGATGTCATTCCAGATGTCATTCCAGATGTCATTCCAGATGTCATTCCAGATGTCATTCCAGATGTCATTCCAGCTGTCCTTTGGGGTTGGAGCTGCGGGGCTGCTCCGGCTCCTCCTGAGAGGAGCCCCCCGGGAGAGGCAGGCTCGTGTCGCAATTCCTCGCGGGTTTTTTTTCCCCCTTAGTTTAGAGCTCTTCTCCCGCAGTTTTCCAGCGCAGTCCATCTGCTCCCGCCGTGCTTTGGCTTATCCCGGATTTTTTACTGGCGCTGAGCTTAGAGAGGTGACTTAAAACGCTCGGAATTGCACACGGCAAGGCTGCCAAAGAGGGAAATTCCCCGTTTTTACAGGCAGCCTCGCCTGGATGCGGGAGATTTGCCAGAGCCTCGCTGAACGATGCTTTTTGTACCCTGTACAGTTTTGTTCCACGATTGTAGGAAAGCTTCTCTTTCCAAATAAATGTTCTGTACCAAAATACATTTTCTGTTTTCCTTTATCACTTGTACAGGGAGGTTTGGGTGGGAAATTCTTCTCCCCGAGGGTGCTGGGCACTGACCTGCCACGAGTGGTTGTGGTGAATTCCCATCTCAGGAGGGTTAACGTGGCCAAAGAGCTGCACAGGGATCGGGGAGACCCCCAGGATGGATCCAGGATGGGCTGGAGCAGCTGGAGCAGCCCCGGGAGAAGGATTTGGGGGTGTCCCGGGCTAAGCCCCCAGCGTGGGCAGCAGGGGAGGGGGGATTCAGCCCCGCTCAGGTGAGACCCCACCTGCAGAGCTGCCCCAGCCCTGGATCCCGGCCCCGGGAGGAGCTGGAGCTGCTGGAGAGAGCCCAGAGGAGGCTCCAGGAGGATCCGAGGGATGGAGGAAAGGCTGGGAGAATTGGGATTGCTCCTTTTGGAGAAGGGGGAGCTCTGAGGTGACCTCACTGTGGCCTGGCAGGACCTGAAGGGGCCACAAGGAAGGCGGGGAGAGACAATTCCCAAGGGATGGAGTGCCAGGGCACGGGGAATGGGCTCAGACTGTCGGGGAGGGGGTTTAGATGGGATTTTGGAGATAAATTCTTCCCTGTGACGGTGGGGAGGCCCTGGAATGGATTTCTCAAAGAACCCTGGGCTGCTCCGTCTCAGAAAGTGCCCAAGGCCAGGTTGGACAGGGCTTGGAGCAGTCTGGGATAGTGGAAGGTGTCCCTGTGTGGAACAGAATGAGTTTTAAGGTCTTCTCCAACCCAAACCATCCAGTGATTCCATGATCGGACATCTCACACGGCTGCCGAGTTAGAGACCCATTTAAGGACAGGATGAAGAAATCCACAACAAAAGAAATCATTCATGCAATGCAGATTCTTTATTGTGGATGAAAAAGGTCACAAGCAGCGAGAGACAAACCAGCGCAGCAACAACGCACTGGAAACACAAAAATCCTAAAGCAGCAGCGAGGCCCAAGGCAGGGCTCCAGCCCAGAGATTCCCCTTGCCAGGGCGGGCCGGGGGCCTCGGAGCCGGGCAGAGCAGGGCAGAGCCTCAGCCGAGGCTCAGCACAGCTGGCTGGGATGGCAGAGAGGGGGCAGCTTCAGGAGGCAGCGCTGGGAGCCCCAAAGGCGCCGGCCGAGGCTCTGTGGGGTCACCGTGCAGGTGACAGGGACCCCGCAGCTCCCGGGGCTGCTGGGCCGGCCCTGAGCAGGGGCTGCAGCTTCATCCTGGCTCAGGCGGCAGAAGACACGAGGGGCTGCTGCTGGAGCCCGCGGGCGGAGGCAGCTCCGAGCTCCGGGGGGATTTGGGGTTTAGCACGAGCCGCAGCCTCCTCCATAGGACCTGGAACCGCGGCCATAGCCCCCATAGCCCCCACGGCCCCCATAGGAGCCACCGGAGCCGCCTCCGACGTAGGGAGCTCCTGCAGAGCCCACGGAGCTGTGCTGCGGGAAGGAGCTGAGGATGGGCCCGGGGAAGGTGACCACCGAGACCGGGGGCTGGATGACCACCGTGGTGTCGGGGCACTGCCTCACGCAGGGCTCGTTGCAGGTGTCAGCCAGAGGGCAAGTGGAGGCCAGCCCACAAGGGGCACACAGGCTGGAGCAGGACATCCTTTGGTTTGGCAGGGAAAGCTGCAAGACAAGGCAGAGCCACGGCTCACGCCAAGGACTCATCCCAAATCCCTGCTGGCTCTCTCCCACCTGCAGCCCCTGCCCCAGGACGTGCTCTGGATCGTGCCAGGCATTCCCAGCTAAAGCCCTGGCACAGCTGAAATGGCTCCTTGGCTCCCCTGCTCCCCTCGCCATCCCCGGCTCTTGCCGGCCCATAGGAATGAAGGAAAACTCCCACATCCCAATCAGCCGGCTCCCACGGGACCTGAGTCCACGGGGAGAGCCCCAACCATCCGAACTCTGCCCTGGGAGGGCTGGAGGAGCACGGGGACAAAGATTCCTTGGGAAATGCCCATCCGAAGATTCCCTGGGAAAGGCACAGGTGAGGAAGGAAGGCTGGAGGGAGGACTCGGACTTACCAGAACGATCAATGAGAAGAGTCAAGTGGAGAGAGCTGGATGGCAACCTGTGGAGCCCTTGGACCTTTTATACAGTCCAGAGTGCCTGAGGCATGGGCCAGGGGGCGGGGGCAAACCCCCAGCTAGCCACGGAATCAAGCGGACAAGCCTCATGACACAAACTGGAACGTGGGGCAAT